CCGCCCCCTTTTTTTTTTTTTTTTTTTTTTAACAATTGGAACAAATTCTATCTTCAATTGAAACAAATTTTATTCCTTTAATTGACAATTTCTATGAAAAACAAAGCCAAATAAACACCAAAAAATAGAAAATTTCAACATTTTCCACTTGAAAAATTATACCAATCAAACACATTTAATTGACAATTCCTAGATAAACAAGTTTTAGGAAATTCAATTCCTTAAAATTCATTTTATTTCCACCTAAATTCTATTTTTGCAATCAAACGAACCCCAAGTATATCTAAACAATCAACATATTGATAAATGAAACAGAGAAGACCTTTCTAGCTAAAGTTTTAGAGGTTTGATGATTACTTCCAACATCTAATTTCCTATTAAGCATATATAAAAGTGGATAACACTCATAGCACTGTAATCAATCTAAAACGACAAAGGTACAACTAATGTTCAAGATTATGTCTCTTTAGCCACACAAGGTTACTCTCTAAATAGCCAAATAAAGACTAAAGTTATTGTTCGTCGAGAAAATTAAAAAATCACTACCATACTTATTCTTGTTTCTGAGACAAAACGATTAGAGAACACCAAGTTCTCAATCGTAACTACCAAAACAAAACCAGAGAAACAAAAGAAAAGAAGATGATGATGATGAATCATAGGCACAAGAACTGAGTGAGAGAGAGAGAGAGAGAGAGAGAGATGAGGGAAAAGAGACTCGTCCAAACCCAATGATATTAAAAAAAAAAAAGGGGTTGAACCGCAACCTTGAAGGCCCCCACCCCTAGAGCTTTGTGAGGGGGGTAAATAGCGGGATGTGCCTCAACAGGTCAGGGAACAAAAGTTGTCTGTACACTACGCTTACAAGGAGTCCAATTTCATGTCTCAAGATTTGAACCCTATATTGCAACTGTCAGCAAGACGTAAAATAATCTCACTCATGTCTTTTGCATCACTAAGCTATGCTCCGGGGATTAAACCCAATGATAACTTGAATTAATAATGCGTCTTAACAGAAGCCCCAAGGATAAACCAATTGAAGGATCCAGAATCAAAATCTGACCACCACAATAATCCACATGTCGCAATCTCATAGAGTGGCTCCACTAACAAAATTGCCACTTGAACACACGCTTTCTTCAATTGTGATAACATCTCTTAACTAATTTCTGCGACGATCCAAAAATAGTCGAAATGATAATCAAAATTCCTCATCAAGGAATCAAGATAAATGTATAAATTACAACTGTCAGTAGCCAAATTTAAGTGCCCAGAGGCCTCCACAATAAATATGAGCGGCATCTATACAAAGGACAGGCCTAATAACGCTTAAAGTCATACTACTCGACACTTGTTAATAAAAATCAACAATTAAAATAAATTTTGGAATAGTGATTTTGAATAAAATGTGCGGTTTAAAATTAAGAAAAAAATTTGAGTTTAAGTGCCCATATGATTGGAAATGAGTTTGAAAAATAAAAAGAATTAAAACATTGGTTGTCGAATAGGGACTTTTCAACTTGAACAATGAAAACTATTGTGTAAATTGTTAATCAATCTTATGCCACTAAAAAATTCAAATATTTTATTTTATTACAATACTCATCCATCCAATCATCTTATTTAATAATTTAAGTGGTTAAAATAAAAAGTCTTCATACTTAATTATCAATCGAGCTGGGCGTACAAGCCTAGCTCTTACAAACCATTTAGTGAAATTATAATTGCTATGGAATACGTCTGGTAGTGATTTTTTGTCTCAGAAACAAGAATATGTATTCTTATTGATCCTATTTTTAGTGAAATTATAATTGCTATGGAATTAAAGTTTAAAAAATATTGGGAGGAACTGTCTATGTTATTTCCTTTAGCATGCGCAATGGACCCCCGATATAATATTTCGGGAACTAAATACGTAATTGATCAAATCAATAAAGTTTTAATACTTGATACACCTATCACATATAAAAAATTAGATCAAACATTATGTGGAATGTATGATTTATATGTGGAAAGAATGGGTGTGAATGTTAGTCGGGTACCCTCTGCACCTACTCCTTTTGCTGAAATTGAAGAAGATGATATCGAAATAATGAATTTATTTCAAGGCATTAATACATTTAGATATGTTGCAACTCCAATGTGATCATCTAGTGCCATGTTGTCTACATTTGCATCTCATCAAACATCGATCGAAACTCAAAATACGATGCCTACCGAATTAATTGATTACTTCAATCATAATATGCCAACAAACAGAGCAATTAAAAAAAGTTCAGAAGAAATAATTGAATTCTGGCAAAAGTATGAAAGACGTTGGCCAATTGTTTCTGCAATTGGGAAAGATCTACTGACACCTCCGGTTAGTACTATTACTTCGGAGTTTGCTTTTAGTGCAGGTAAAAGCGTTTTAACCGATGTCAAGAGCCAATTGAAAGAAGATGTTTTGAAAGCGTTAATGTGCGTTAAGGATTGACAGGACGCTCATTTTCGACTATAAGATAAATATGCTGAAATTGCATGTTGTCAGGTAAGTGATATTTGATTTAATTATATTAATCAAATTTCTTTATTTTTTAATCGTTAAATTTATTTTTTTTTAAAAAAATTGTACACGTTACAACAAGTTGTTCGTGTACAATTTTTAACTCCCCCTACTTAAAATTGACATAACCGGTCCCAAGCCCGAATAAAGAAGGAGGGTTTACATTTTATTTACTTTAAAAAGAAATCAAAAAAAAATATTTTTTGTAAATGTATTTCAAAAAATAATTCGTATTCATTATATAAATATTTTATACTTTATAAAAAGTATTACAATATGATATAAATAAAAAAATAAAAAATTATTTTCATTAAATTATTTGTATTTTTTAACACTTTTTATTTTTTTAAAAGTGTTTTCTATTATTTCATTTATTTGTAAAACACTTTAAAAAAAAATAAAATTGACGAGTCCACGAGCTCAAGCTCGACTCGGCCCATGAGCTCGGACGAGCCACAAGCTCGTGGGCCGATCCGAGCTCGAGCTCGGCTCATTCAAAACAAGCCACGAGCGCGAGCCAAGCTCGTGCGATTAAGGGCCGAGCCGGTTTGGCCCGGCCCATTGCCACCACTACGGTCTCACATGGGTGGGGTCAATTTTTTTTTCACCGGCTCGGCCCATTGCCACCACTACGGTCTCACATGGGTGGGGTCAATTTTTTTTTCACCATTTTATATTGCATTGGGCCCCATCTGAGATCGACCTATGTGAGAGATCTGTAATTTCCCTGTGAATATTTCCCCGTGGATTTATTCTTTAATAATTTCTCTAAACCCTAAACCTCGTAGGGAATCCTCATGAAAACCTTATACGCATTGAGCGGTATTTTGCAGTTGGAAAGCAGTATTCAAAGCTAAGTAAAATAAAATTTTAAAAAGGCCAAAAGAGCAACTCCCAATGGGGAAATGGAATTGTCAATTTTCAGATAGATTTTAAGCATTATTTCTCGTAAAAATAAAAAATGTATATCGGTAAATGAAATTCCTCAAATTACGCAATGGATAATGAATCATTTTATCATTTTTTATGATTTTATATTTGTTATTATGGGAATTTGCCCCGACTCCAAGAATGACTTCTACCCTACGTAAATAATGCATGTAATATCACTATATAAATAATGAAAAGTGTCGTCCAGCTTCACGACGAATTGTAACATTTTAAGGTCCCGTTTGTTTTTTATTCGTTGATAAAAAAATAAAAAATATGACTGTTATCCCTCACATCAAGCTACCATATTTGACTCTCTCTCTCTCTCTTGTATGAGTACCGTAACAATTATATTTTTCATTCTCATTCTTATAAAAATGAGAATCAAACGAAAGCTTAGTAATCTATATTATAAAGCATCACATAATACTTAACACTGGTACATAAGTGTAAGGGATGATAAACCCATGCTACACTTGCTGATATAAAAATAAATAAATAAAAATACACCTCAACTGATAGCATTATTCAAATTTTAGTCTAGCACTTATTTTAATTGTTTGCTCATGTTGTTGGTCGTTCGAGCACAATCCCTATTTTTTTTTTTTTAAAGGTTATCTTGAAATCAGAAAAATAATATATCTATAAACAGATGTATCAAAATATACTATACTATCCCTTGATCCAAGTAGAGATCATGCAATTAACTAACCTGTTCCTAGAGTTGAGATGCTATAGAGTCTGTTTGGGAGTGATTTTGAGAATTGATTTTTTGTTGTTATGAGAAAAGTGGGGTCACCTATGAGAAAAAAAGTCAAATATGACGATTGGAATAATGAAATAATGGTAAAAAATCAATTATTTTTGGAAGAAAAATCACTCCCAAACAGGTTGATAGTAGGATGGTTATGAAAAGTTGATGAAGGCAGGGAATGCTTCTAACTCAAACAATAGAAAGAGGCCATAAGTCCAAAAGCTAAAAACCTTACATACTTCACAAGCAATCTCTACATTATATGTATATAATAGTACAATCCTGATAGAACCCAGGTAATAGAAGAGGGGACTAGAGGGCTTTTTCCATGGAGGAGGTGGTGTTGAAAGCTCTTCTATTTGGAGGCGGAGACGACCGAATTGCAGCAGCGAGGGAAGTCGCTAATTTTAGTAGTAAGCAAAGACAGAAGGTGGCTGAAAAGGGAGTTATTTCGCCATTGGTTTTGATGCTTTGTGAAGAAGATTGTGAAGCCATTCAAGCTGCACTCTTTGCTCTGCTCAGTCTGGCCTTTGGAAGTGAAAGGTTAGTGTATTTGTTCGATTACGTTATTGAGATTAATGAGTTTCAGATTAGTATGTTAGATTGAAAATGTACAAATCGGGTTTCCATATTGTTGGTAATTATGCATGGATTAGATTAGACCATAGTCCTTACTTTCGAGAGCAATAATAATCACAACACCTGTAAAGAACTTGCAGGTTGACATATCCTATGATGTACCAACACAAATATGTGTCCGACGCAATACGTGCACATGACACATGTTGGATGTCTATATGTAATTTTTCAAAAAAGTACTGACATAATACGTCCTTATCATGTTCATTAAATTATTTTAAAAATTTTCATTTATATAGTATAAATTTAGTTTTATACTTGTTATTAATTATTTTTGTAAAAATCTTTCTGAGTTAAAAAAATAAATAATATTTCTAATAATAAAGAAAAATGATCATGGTAAATTATTCAAGAAATGTTGATATTCGACATGTGTATACTTTGAGTTAAAAAAATAAATAATATTTCTAATAATAAAGAAAAATGATCATGGTAAATTATTCAAAAAATGTTGATATTCGACATGTGTCAAACACGGATAAACTACCCTGATTGAAGTATCCATACAACAAAGAGTCGTATCCATACATTGCTAGATATTTTCATTATAGTACAGAAAAGAGTACTAGTTTTCCTTTAGTACGAAATAGGTTCCTTAATAATCCTTAATATAAGGCTACACGACTGCATGAATGTCCAATATGATTTTTCTTTATCAAAGTCTCAGTTTTAGCTCATGTTCTGCAGAATAGCTTATTTCAGTTTAATGTGCTAATTATGTTTTTATTTTTATTTTTTTTCAGAAACAAGATTCGTATTGGAAAATCTGGTGCAATACCAAAGATTTTAAAGATTCTTCAATGCCAAATCGAGCCATTGCTTGACCTTGCAGCTGCAGCCCTCTTGATCCTCTCTTCGTGCACACAAAACAAGTTAGAAATTGCAGCATCTGGAGCGATTCAACTTCTTATTAATCTCCTAAACCTGAACCGTGACAATATAAGTATGCAGGCAAAGCTAGATATCTTATCAACTCTTCACAATCTCTCAACATGCCCACAAAGTGTTCGACAAATTGCCCTATCGGGTTGTGTAGTATCACTGCTTCAGCTAGTCCATGGCTTGGAAAAATCATCAGATTTGGTGGAGAAAATTATGGGTTTACTTGAAGAGATCGTTTCTTCATCAGAAACAGCTCTAAAGGTGGCTGCGGAAATCGAGGGCGCAATCTCAGTATTGGTGGAGGCTATGGAAGAAGGATCAGCACAATGCAAAGAGCATGCAGTGGGAATTCTTCTTGTTATATGCCAGAACTATAGAGATAGATACAGAGGGATGATTTTGAGGGAAGGTGTAATGCCAGGGCTTCTTCAGTTAAGTGTTGATGGGACATGGAGGGGTAAAGAGAAGGCCAAAGAATTGCTTCTGCTTTTAAGAGATGACTCAAATAGTGGATCAAGAAGTAAACAGTCCAAAAATGTGCTGTTGGAGAAGGTTATGAGGAAGATAGATAGAGGAGAAAGAGGCGGAACCTCACTCAAGTTGGTTGAGGAGATGATTGAAAAACTTAGGACGTGATTGTTTCTATTTTGATATGGAGGATATTGTGATGTGTTTGATATGTTGAACTGGATACTATTGAACACTTGTCTTTTGTTTGATGTGTCCAATGAACCATAGCGTGTCCTTGGAGTTATGCTTGGTAGTGTATGACCTAGGGTTGGACTTGGAGACCAATTCTTTGTACAGAACTTGCTAATGGATGAGGGACGACTTCTATTTTTTTAATGATTTGAGTACCTAGTGTATAAAATGATTTTACATGCTAGTGTATAAAATGATTTTACATGATGACATGTAGATGCCATCCTAGAAAATTATCGCGTGTTGTGGTCTAGATTCAGTCTAATCTCCACCATGCAAGCAAAAATACTCTAAAATGATGTTATTCACAAGCTTGCCAGCCTCCTGATTTTTCTTCTCTTAATCATGTAAAATCTTGTTTTATTCAATCATTAGGACTTCCAAACTCACATATTTTCTATGATGTAAATTGAAATAGAAAAATAAAACTCTCTTATTTAGATGACTTAGAATCAATGGATAAGCATGAATAGTGTTTACCACTAAAAATGAGCCAATAGAAACCCAAGCCTCACTCGCACCCAGACATTGTCAAGTGTAAAGAAGATCATTCCTTGAGGCACAAGCCAACGATATCTTCGAGCACCTGGGTAAATCAAGCACGACGACAAAAGTCATATTTGCATATGTAAAACAAGTTGAATATATAAACTTATGATTAAGAAGGGTAGTTGTGGATATTATGATATATGGAATTGCATTACCCCGAAAATGTTACAAGAAAAGGTATTTATAGTATTACAATTGAAGTCATGACCGTATGAATCACACGTGGCTTCATCCGATCCACTAGGTTGTCCTATTAAAGATGTCTTATCATTTACTTCCCCTAGGCTGAACTTGAGTATCTGAAAAAGGAAAGTCGCCCTATAGTTTGTGTTAGCACTCTTGATCATTAAGATGAAAGGATCTAAGTCGTTTGGACTGTAGGTTGTCAAATCAATCATTTTCACTAGATCCTCACACAAAGGATCTTCTTGAGAACTGCCTTTGATCTAAAGCCTTTAGAAGCTAAGGAGATGGCCTATGATAGTAGGTTCGGTCCATTATAAATGGGCCTCGGATAATAGAGCTTCTACTCATGAGCCATCCCAGTGCTTCGGCTATATCTGACCAGAATGATGCACTGTCCCTAACTCAGCTTCTAATAGGATTCTACGCAGGATGCCATGTGGGCAATAATTTGAGCCACGTTAACAAGGCAAAACAAATAGCATTACTCTTAAAATTACAATAAGGGTCTGACTAATTGCAAAGATGAAATTGAATTACCTAGAAAACGAATTCTATAGAATTGAATTGCATATAATTGTTTTCTCTGGGAATTGTAAATATAGTATTTGATTGGTATAATTTTTCAGGTGAAAAACGTGAAATGAAAGTGCTTTTTGTTGTTCATTTGGTTCTATTTTACATGAAAATTGACAATTAAAGGGATATAATTTACTGGTATTGGGGATAGAACTTGTTTTCATTGCAAAAAAAAAAAAAAAAAATTCAATAAGCCAAGAAAATCATTTATCTTTTAGTGATCATTTGACTTTATTTTACATGAAATTGTCAATTAAAGAAATTTTTTTTTTTTACAATTAGGAATAAAATTTGTTTCCATTGACAAAAAAAAAAAAATAAAAAAAAAAAAAGTATCACACACCTAAAGTTGAAAAATCCAATTCCAATTCCAATTCCAATTCCACCCTATCATACACACACTAAATCTAAATTGGAGTCATAGCATGACCCATCATGCAAAAATTGGTCCATACTTAATGTTTGTTTGTCACCCATTATTTGGGAAGAATATGTTATGAAATAATGATTAATATTGAATCGTGTGGTTAAAAAAGAATGAAATGATTTTTATTTAAGTGTAATATTATTTTAATGAAGAATATGTAATTGAAAATGAGCACTGTAAAAAAAATAATGGAAGAAAATGAAAGAAAATGGATAACAAACCGAGGCTTAATGATTAGGACCGAAATTCTACTTTCAAGCCCATATTCTTATTTGTTTTGTACTTGCTGATCAGGTCTGAATTCTATGGTAAAGCTCATAAACCAATTTGTTCAATCTCCAAATATTTGTTCAATTTAAACCATCTGAAACTAAAAAGAGTCAAAGAACTCTTCTATTCTAGCCTCCCCGAGAACCGCAACCTTCATATCATAAGCAGTGCTTGGTGCACGGGGAAAACTGCCATGTGATTTGCAAGGGGGAACTTGGCATTTTTTCATTGGAAGATGGCCAAAAATATTTAAAAAATAATAATAACAAAAAAAATAAAAATAAAAATAAAAAAGAAGCAACCATACAGGTGCTACGTTGATAGCCAAAAATAAAAAAATGAACCATACAAGTGCTGCGCAAGCAGCACCTATAATTGCCCTGGCACTCGTGTCATTTCTAAAAGAATCCAAGAACATTTGACAATGCTAAAAGATCCATCCGTTCTTTATCCTGTGACAGATAATCAAAACCGAACGGGAAAAAAGAATTTCACTCCGAAGGGAAGATTATTCTCACTGTCAA